AGAACAGCTTCTCAGCTCCAGCAGGAATTCCCACTTCAGCCTAAGGAAGGAGGAGATGCCTTGTTTTCCTTATCTGCTTATTTTAAATTTCATTTCATTTTGTGGTATTCTAAATCTCCATAAATTTTGGGGAAATTAAGTTGGAGTGGGCTTTTTGAGGGGAGAAGACCCTGGCTGTGGTCACAAGGCAGGGCATGTATACAAAGGGAAAAGGTGGTACAGCCTAGGAGCTGGTCATCACTCCCCAGCAGGGCTGCCAGCCCTCAGGCCCCGCCCCACCTTCTCAACCACACTTCCTGCTGCTTTGTGCTCCACCACAGCAAACTTCCATTCTTGAAAAGACCATGCTGTCTGGTACACGGGAACCTTTACATATGCTCTATGTCTTTCCAGAATGTTCTTCCTCCCCGCTCCCTAAATTCCAGGCCATTCTTTAAAGGCTGAAAGCCACTTCCTATTGCAGTGTGGCTAAACCTTGGAAGAATTCATCCAAGCTCCTGCTTAGGGTGATCCTCTTCCTGCATGTGCCATGACCCACCTTCTCTCTTAGGGTAAGGAGGATTCTTCTAGGTTCCTGTTGCCCCAGGATCTTAAACAGTGCCCAGACATGGAGGGTTCTGAAAGTCAGCCAAAGAATGGTGCCCTGGATTAACTTTTAAAGGGTGTTCGGGGAAATGATGGAGAGGGCCTGAGGGCCTGGGGATGAGGTAAGAGGAGAGCAGGGGTCTCATTCTGAAGTTAGGACATATTGGCTGGGCCTTCATGGGACAATGCCTGGGAAACAGTTGAGCTGAGTACTAAAGGTTGGTAGTTCATCGGGAGGGGAGGGGACTTTGTGTGGGAGATAGTTGAATCTGAAAGCAGATAAGTGAACTAAGACTGGCAGAGGGTCGAGGGCAGGATCTGGGATGGCAGAGTTAACAGACAGAGGATGATGCTGAGAAGGTACATTTTGAGGAGGCAGAGAAGAACCTGAAGTGACAACTTCAGGAAGGCCTAGGGAGGTGGTTTTAGAAGAAAAGGTCAAATGCCATAGAACTAAGATGAAACTGAGAAAGGCAGATAGAGTTCTTTATGCTACAAGTCATACTTAGCAAACAGGCCAGATAAGAACATTACTCTTTAGTTCAAGAGGGACTTGGCAATCTTGGAAATGCTTGTATTTTCCCAACATTTTTATTACTGCTGCTATGTGGTGCAATGGTTAAGCACTTGGCTGCTAACCAATAAGTTGGTGGTTCAAACTCACCCAATGGCTCTGCCAGAGACACAGCTGGCAATCTGCTCCTGTAAATATTGTTGTTACTGTCAGGTGCCATTGAATTGGTTCCAACTCATAGCGACCCTATGTATAACAGAACGAAACAATGCCCAGTACTATGCCATCCCCACAATCATTGCTATGTTTGAGCTCATTGCTGAAGCCACTGTGTCAGTCCATCTTTCTCATTGAAGGTCTTCTTTTGCACTGACCTTCTACTTTTCCAACCACAATGTCCTTCTCCAGGGATTGGTCCCTCCCGATAACATGCCCAAAGTACACCTCACCATCCTCGCTTCTAAGGAGCATTCCAGCTGTACTTCTTCCAAGAAAGATTTGTTCATTCTTCTGGCAGACCATGGTATATTCAATGTTCTTTGCCAACACCATAATTCGGATGCATCAATTCTTCTGCAGTCTTCCTTATTCACTGTCCAGCTTTTGCATGCATATGATGGTAAGAAACCCTATGGGGCAGTTCTGCTCTGTCACATAGGGTTGCTATGAGTTGAAGACCTACTTGAAGGCACCTAACAAGAACCAACAACCCCTCCCTAGCAGTCCATGGGTGGTATAAATGGTTAACACGTTAGGCTAACTGAAAAGTTGGTGGTTTGAGTCCACCCAGAAGTGCCTTGGAAGAAAGGCCTGGCAATCTGCTTCTGAAAAATCAACCACTGAAAACCATGGAGTATGGTTTCACTCTAACGCACACGAGGTCACCATGAGTTGGAATGCACTAACAGTAACTGGTTTGGTTTTTTGTTTTGTTTTACTTCTTCCTAGCCCCTGGCATAGCTTAGGAGGGGAGAATGTGGTATGGATGGCCAGGCTCAACATGGGAGAAGGAAGCCTAAACCTAATTCTAGTCCAATCCTGTTTTCCATTTGCTGGGTGAGTTTATGGCCAGTCACTGTCCCCTGGTCTGAAAACGAGGAGACCAGGAGCTCTAAAACTTGTGCTGGAAGTCAAGGAATTTTTTATGGGCATATTTAATTATATTATATGAATAAGGAACAAACCTCACTAAGACAGAATATATTCTGTTTTTTGCAGGTCTCCACATCTCAAGTCACATATACTGAAAAACTTTTCAGTTAAATCAATGTTTTAGTTTTTTAGTTACTGATCACTGAGTGCATTTATTGGCTGGGTGTGGGGAGCAGGTGCCATAGGTTTAGTGTTTACTAATAAAGCTTTTGGGATTGGGATAGGTACATGGGAGGTTCATTAGACAAGTCTCTCTGCTTTGGTGTATATTAGAAAATGTTCATAATACAACCTTTTACATTTTAGTGGAAAATATAAAGTTGAGACATTGTATTGATTACCTTACATTTTTCTTGTGAACTGAGAAAAGACACCCTTTTTTATTGTAACTGACTGAAAAAAACTCACTGCCGTCAAGTTGATTTCAACTCATAGTGACCCCTCCTTGGGTTTCGGAAGCAATATCACTACAGAAGTAGATTACCCAACCTTCCTTCTGAGGAGTAGCTGGTGGGTTTGAACCACCAGCCTTCTGGTTAGCAGTCAAAGGCCTTAGGCACTACGACACCAGAGCTCCTACTGTAACTGAGGGAAGTCTCAATACTGCTTCTGTAAGGGAACATGGCTTTATGTCTAAGCTTCTGACCCTAAGGCTAAGGGAAAGCAGAAAAAGCACAGGTACTGATGGGTTAAAAAGCAAAGCCCCTCCCACCCAGTTCTAGGGGGCCAAGGGGCAGAGAAACTAAAATGAAGGACAGAATACTCTAGTTCCTGAATTTCTACCCCAAACAGAACACTAAAATGCTCAGAGTTAAGTGCTCTGGCCCCCACATCTTGGACTAGTCGTCCTTCTTCCAAGATCTTCCAGGAGAGTAAATTCTGACTTTCTGGATCCCAAAGAAACAATCAAGTAGACAACCCCTCACCTTCTTTTCCACTTAATTTTTCTAGAGGAAGCTCCCACACAGTGTGAAATGGGGTCACACTTTCCTTTATAGGCCCGGAGTAAGTGAGCTCTACTGTTAAATACCCTACGTGGTGGCCATTAATAGCAGTTCCCTTACCCTTCCCTGTTCCAGTAGGTCAACACCCTCTAGTCTTTGTACCCCTACTAATCAAACTTACGGGAGCTCTGGTAGCATAGTGGCTAAAGCACTTGACTGCTAACCAGAAGGCTGGCGGTTCAAACCCACCAGCCACTCCTCGGAAGGAAGGTTGGGCAATCCTACTTCTGTAGTGATACTGCCTCGGAAACCCAAGGAGGGGTCGCTATGAGTCGGGGCCGACTCGACGGCACATAACAACAACAACAACAATCAAACTTACAAGAGAGCAAGAGAATAGCTCAAGAAATAGTGTTGGATGGTTTGATCTCATTCCTTGGCCTTTCAATCTCTACTTCATCAGTTCCCTTTGCCATGTACCTTTCCCTCCACAGGCTGGCTAACTCCACCCCACAGCCCCCACAGAAGCATCTCCCAGGAGAGTCATCAGCAATGGACATGGCTCAGGAATGCAGCTTTCCACGGGGCTGACAGCATCCTCCCTCCTGACATCCCTCATTCCTAGTCTTCCTCCCAGGTCCCATCTCAGGCTTGCCTTGTTAGTCCTGGCAGTCTGCAGCATCCCCTCTACCTGATGGGGTTTCTATGGACTCAAACTTGGGGCACTGTCTCTTCTCTCTCTCTTCTAGATGAGCTCATGGATTTCCATGCCAGGATTCTGCTCATGATAGCCACATTTTTATCTGCAGTCGGACTCCTCCGAGCCGACTGACATATCCAACTGCAACCTGGCACCTCCCCTTGGAGGCTTCACAGGTACTGCAGCATCTCACACTGAATTTGGATCCCCATCCCTTCCCAGTCTGTTTGAGTGAATGGCACAACCTTCCACTCAGGTGTTCCAGCCAGACCCCTGGAACTTTCCCCCATCCCTCCCGCCCATCAGCAAGGTCTATAATTCTGTCTCCAAATGACATCTGAGTCTGTCCTCTTCTCTCAGCCTCAATGGATGCCACCTTAGTCCATATCAAATCATTTCCATATCAATGCAGAGAATAAAATCACTCCCATATCAAATGCCTAGAAACCTTCCATGGCTTCCCAGTATACTCAGAATTAGACCAGCTCTTGGCAAGGATCTGCAAGGCCCCATGTGATCTGACCCCTGCTTTCCTCTCCTGACTCATGTAGGCCCACTCTCTCCTTTGCTCATTTCACAAGTTCCCATGCATACTAGTCTTTCAGTTTGTCAAACAATTCAGGGCCTTGCTTGTGCTATTTCTTCTGCCTGGAATGCCTTTTCCACCCCACTCATCACACAGCCAACTCTTCAGTTCCTTAATAACTCAACTTAAATGCCACCTCCAAGAAGCCTCTCCTGACAAGTTGTTCTGTTATCAACCATTTCAGGCCCTTGTTTACTTCTGTTTACTTGTTTTCTCTCTGTCTCCACAATCAGAATGTCAGGTACCATAGATGCCCAGAATGATCAGAATGGCAGGTACCATAGATGCCCAGAGCCTACTACAGTGCCTGGTACACAGTAAGTGTTCAATAACCATCTGTTGAATGAACCAGTCACTGTCTAAGGATCAAGCTGCTCCCTGTGAATGTGAAAGGTTAGCCTGAAGAGGAAACTGAGGCTCAGCCAGAACCAGACAACAGCTCCAGAGAGAGGCTGAAGCTAATTTTTGGTTTTCCGTTTATGTGAGACGGGCTGGGGCCCAGGCCAGAAGGCACCTCACCTCCCTTTTCCAGCGTGCCAGCCACTCGTCCCGTTTGCGCTTGCTGATGTAGTAAGGGTCCCCCGCCTGGAAGGTGAGCCGCGGCATGGGCCGCTGGCGGAGGCTGGATTCCCAGCCCAAGCCACCCCGCAGCCGGCCCCGGGAGCCCTAAGACAGAGAGATGACAGAGAGACAGACAGGCATTAAGATGGGCACTGGCAGCCCTGCTGTCGGGTTTGTTCCTCCTGGAGGGGAAACTGAGGAGGCACTCACCTCGAACAGAATGCAGGAACTCTGACTCCTGGCCAGAGATGCCAACCCTGCGAGTGCTGGGCAAGCCCCTGTCTGGGCTAGAAAGTGAGGGACGTGTGGGGGTGGGGGCAACTGGACGTGAGGGGAGGTACTCCTTCTCTGGAGGGGGACCAGCTGGCTGCCTTGTTGGGGGACTTCCAACCTCCACACCCACTTCCTCTCTTTCTCACAGAGGGATATATAAAGAGGGGGCAGGGAGCGCCCACCCTCAGGCTCCCCTCACACACTCGCCACAGTTGGGTCAGAGCGGTGGGTTTCTTCTCCTAGAATCAGGATCCACAGAGCCCCTGGGGGTTGAGGAAAACACTTGCCTCCATTTTCATGGATTCGATGTTGGTCTCCTTCTGTTCTTTGCCTGTGGAGAGGGAAGAACAAAGGGACTGTTGGCAGAGTTACAGGAGTGGCTCCAAGGCCCCACCCTGTGTGGGGGTCCCTGCCATGGGGGGCAGGGGTCCTCCAACTGTTAAGTTGTTCATGTATCAAACATGACGGCCCCACCATATGCTGGGCACTGTGCTGGCCCTGAAGACTCAGAGAAAGGCCCAGAGCAGAGCAAGAACTGGGGAAGGGTTTGAAGCCTAAGTATGAAGGAGCAAGAGCAAAGTCAGGGCTGTGGTTTCCGGCACATTGACTGTCTCAGGTACACAGAAGGGGACTAAAAATAACCCCACTCTGCTGCTCCTGGTCAACAGGACTCCTTTCCCAGTGGAGGGAGCAGGAAGGTAGGGGGCGGGGGCAGGAAGGGCTGGACTAGAGAGAGCTATACTGTGCAGCCTTCTCTGGTCCTGGAAGGGAGTTTGCTTCTATGTGTGGGCTATAGGCAAAGATGCCTCCCACACACAAGGCTATATGTTGGGAGGTAGTGAGCTGACTGAAGGAAGACTGTGGTGAAGTAACTTGTCTCTGTGACACTCAGTTTCCTCATCTGGAAAATGAAGTCATTAGAGATGTTTTCTAAGGGAAATATTATGGTCTAATACTATCTGACTCCCTGCTCCCATTCCCTACCCCATTCCTGAGTTCAGCCTTTAATCTAGAAGAACTGAGTTTGGATTCTGATTGTCTCAGTGTGCTCTCTGTGGCCTCTCCTAGCCTGTTTCCTCACTGAATAGATAAATATTCTCAAATCATAAGTCACAGTGAACCGTAAGTACCTTGTGCAGCAAGCACATGGCATATAGTAGATGCTCAATCAAAGTTGCTTTTGTTCCCCTTTCCGAAGGGAAGCACAGCATTTCCCTGTAATTCCTCAATGGGCCTGATTCCAGTTACTGGACGCCAAGTCTCATTTGGGGGCAAAAGCCCCAGCAATGCCACACTTAGGAGGACCCTCCTCCAGGTCCCAAGCAAGCACAAAGCCCCACTCCTCCAAATATCTCTGCACTCTCACCTTGGTCCTTGCCTCTCAGATGTGCTTTCCAGGCCAGGCCTCCAGTTCTGCCCTCACTAGCTGTGGGCTCGGTGTATTACACCTTCTCCAGCTTCCTGTCTGAGGCTGGGGGAGTAAGCCCTGACTACACCTGGGCCCCCGAACTCCTTTCTCTGAAGCCAAAGAGTTTTTGAGCTTGTGCCCAAAACAGGAAGGTCATTCAGGCTGGTACTTGGTTGCTTGGGGAGTGGGAAGTGGGGGAAGGGGGAACACAAAGAGCCAAAAACGGAAAAAACAGCCCCTACTTCACCTCCTGGCTCTGAAGCGGAAACCAGACATAGCATTTAAGGCCTCTGAATCCTCAGCCACCTGAGAGGATGTCTCCCTCCTGCTCACCAAGGCCTGGACTCTCTGCATCTGTAGGCCCAGGACAGCGTCCTGTTCTCAGAGACCCCTTTTCTGGGTTACACTGACTCCTGCCAGCCCAGTCTCAGGTCAGGCCCTATAGCACTGAGGGAGGGGAGGAGAGGCTCTGGGTACTGGCTCTGTTCACCTGTGGCTATGTGGACATGGCACCACACATCTTGGGTATAGTATGCAGAGTGATGAAGTGATGACGAGCTGGCTGTTAAGGTAGGTGCGCGGGAGGAAGTGAGTGTGTCTGTCATGGGTAAGTGTGTGGGTAGAACATGGGGGTGAGAATGTGTATTTGCTAATGCTTTGAACATGACTGACCTTTTAAGGTATGTCTTACCCCTAATTTCTCCGTCCCTATCTCCAACCTTCCTTGAGGTCCTCTCACAACAGCAAGAGCCCCAACTTCTTCTGGGGCCTCAACTCTGGCTGCTTAGAGCTGGGTTTCCCCTCCTAGCCTGCCCAGGGCTTTCCTCCTCGTTTGGCAGGGACTTCCCTTCTCACAGACCTTGACATTCTGCCCGCAAGGCTTTGGGCTGCCAGAAGGGGGCTCCTGCCTGCCGATCAAGCTGCAGCAGAGTGGGCTGGCAGAGCAGGCTAGGTGACAGCCCCCTACCCTGATCTGAGACTCTGGGAACAGCTGCATCAGCCACTGAGCTGGAACCAGGGGTCCCCAGGGACTGATCTGAGACTAGGAGTCAGGCTGCATTCTCTTCCCCTTTCCCCAGCCTCCTTTGGATGGACCTCTAGTTTCCTTCCTGAGACCCTCCTTAACACATGATAATGCTTATGAGGGGGGCAGGGAATCATTTGTTCATTAGAAAGAAAGAAATTCAGGGCTGCATGTAACTGTAGTACTGGTCCATCTCCTGAATTTTGCTGAGGAAACTGAGGCCCAGGGAGCTGAGTGACCAACTGCCAGAACCGAGATCCAATTTCAGGGCTCCTGACCCGTAAGCCAGCCCTCTTTACACTGCACCACATACATTATTCCTTAATGTTTCTTCCTTCTTCACCCCTTAGTCCCTGTGATCTCTAAAACACACTTATTTTCTTTATGCGGTTTCCAACTCACTTCTTTCTGGAATTTTCTTCCTGACAGACTCTGCGCATGCCCAGTTGAGTGAACACACATACACACACTCACACACTCACTTTCCAGCCTGGCCAGGCGAAACAAGCTCGGCTGCCTCCGAATGCGGCACTTGTCATGAGTCAAGAAGGGTCAGCTGCTCTCTCTCAACACTCCCTCTGAAGTCCATCTGCTCCTGGCCCAGGCCCAGGGTCATGGGCAGGGCCAGGTGGCTATATGCCTTCCAGGGCAGCCTGGCAAGCGTGGACATGACCCAAAGGCATCTCAGGTCCTGGGAGCAGATGAGGCCAGTGTGCTTCTAACATCTACCTGTGGGTCCAAGTATGCTCAGGCAGGGACCACCCCAAGTGCTCTTTAAATGAGCCCGATTCTCTATGATAAGGCTGAGGCCAGGCTGACCTCACAAGGCACCCAACACTGGGCCTATGCTCGGTCTGGGCAGAGAGGAGCTTAAGCTGGCCCTAATCTGGGCCTTTACCAGTTATAATCTTGGGTAAGTGACTTAACTTTCCTGAACCCTCACTGTCCCCATCTGAAAAACAGAGACAGTAAGAGTCTTCCTTAAAGGATCATAAGGACTAAATAAGAGAATATATACAGAGCAGGGCTCCTCAAACTTTAAACAAATCACAGGGATCCCTTTAAAATGCAGATTCTGATTCGCAGGCTTGGGTGGGCCTCAGAGTCTGCATTTCCAAGAAGTTCCCAGGTGATATGGATGCTAAGCCGCCCATGGAGAGTAATTTGAGTAGCTTTGAGTAGCAAGGATGTAAAATACTCAACACAGAGTCAATACACAGTAAATGAAAGCCATGTTGCCATTGTTACTATTATCATGAGTACAATATTAATGCTAAGAGAGCAGGAGCAGACCCAAGGCACTGCTCAGATGCTGGCCCGGAAGCTGGCTCTTATCCTTACAGCTCATCAACTCCCCTGTTCATAGTTCTTTCTCCTGACTGTAATAATACAGGAGCTGAGGCCCCTACATACACACAGGAGGGTGCCCAGGCCACAGGTATGCTGCCTCAAAGCCCTCCTGTCTTTCTTGTATAGGAACTGAGAAAGGGATCCAGGAGAGACCACTGGGGAAAAGAAAGACCTAGAGTGAAGGGAACTAAAAGACCATGGCCAAGTCACTTCCTTCCTGGGGCCTTAGGCTCCCTCCTCATCTGAATGCACCAGCAGAGCATGCGTTCTGTGTCAGCTGACTGCTGCGACAGTGGCCAAGCTTCCACACCATGATGTAAGCCACTGCCTGCTACACCCTGGCAGAGCCTCCAGTAGGCTGCTGCCCACCCTTCTCGGTGATGCCTCACCAATCTCAGCATCCCACCAATTCACAGTGGCCTTCAGGGATCCCACCAGCTCTGATCCCTGCCAGCATCTCAACTTCCTGGATAGCTGGGGCACACAGGAGTGCTCCAAGGACAAAGTTTGGAAATCAAGGAGACTTTCAGCATTTCTGCCCCTCATGCTTAGCACTAAGATTCGAAAGGTCCATCCGATATATCAATGTCCCAAACCAGGAGCCATCCCTGACATCATCTCCCTTCTTACCCTTCGTATCCCTGCATTCCTCTACTTGTCTCCATCTCTGCTGCCACCTCGCTCATGAGAGCATCCCTCCTCTCCCAGACTCCTGCAGCAGCCTCCTCACCAGTCAGTCCACTTCCCAGCCCCTCCACTGCATTCCATGATCCAGATTGCAAAGTGATCGCTTCAGATCATGGCACCCTGAAAACAAGGCGCTCATAGTCTGGCCCTGTCTCCTCTCCACTTCATCTCACACCCTCTTCACTTGGTCTCTCCACTCTGGCACATGTGGGCTTCTGTCAGCTCTCTGAGTGCCCTGCCCCACCCCCATCTCTCCCTTCCCCACTCTCACCTGATAAGCTCTAGCTCATCCTTTGGTTCAGGCTGCCTAGTCCCAGCCCTAACCAGCCTCCTTTGTGACAGTTTCTCATAGAACCAAGTTATTTCCCCTTAGAGTACTTATCTCTGTGCACAGTCACACGTTCCTAAGTGTGGACTGCTGATTAACGTCTGTCTCTCCAGCAGACTGTGAGGTCCTTGAGGGGAGGAACTAGGTTTTGTTCATTATGGCGTTCCCAGTGCCTGCACAGATCCTCACACACCCCAAATGGTGTTTAATAAACACCTGTTGACTGAAAAAAGGAATTCCTAAGAAGAACTAGAAGAGGAGACAGGGAAATCCCAAACCAAAAGCTACTCCTCAAGGCTTGAGAGCAGCCTTACACATAAGGAAGGCTCCATCCCCCAGGGCAGGAAGGACTGTCTAGGGCCTGGACACAGTAAATGATCTAGTTCATTTACTGGAACCTGGACGTCAGCTGAGACCTGTCCCGTGGACGACACCAGGTTGGAAATGGCTGGCTGGTGGACAGACCCTTCTGTTGCACAATCTAGGATGGTGTCTTCTTGCTTTTTTCCCCTATGTCACTGCACACAGGTGCCTTTCTACCACTCCCACAAAGCATCAAAGGACACAACTAAGGAGACGCTATGGTGAGGCAAGGCAGCCTGGAGAGCTCATGAACCTGCCCTGGTCCTGAGGCCCATTCCAGAGAACAGCAGAGGATTGTGGAACGATCACCCACTCTGAAGCAAGGGACCGAGATCAGGATCCTGTATCTGCCACTTGCAAGCTGGGGGGATTGGGAAGAGAGCTTTTAGCAGGTCACTTAATCTCTTTAAGCCTTCGTTTTCTCACCTTCACATGGGGATAATAATACTTCTTGACATGATTGTTTAGAGGAGTAAATAAATGGATGCAAAGTACTTTGTACATAGTGGAAGCATCATAAATATTTGTTGAATAATAAATGAATGATAGATATTATTTTCATAGTTTGGAAATCTTTTCTAAATGTTCTCTATCCTGCATAAATATTAGATTTGGATCCATGTGGTATAAGTTCTGCCAATTAATCAATTTACTCATTCCATCATACACACTTGGAAGGAAGACTTTTTGAAATTAAAATGCACATATGCAAAACAACCTGGCAGGACCCTGGGAGGATCAAATGTGATAATGTATGAGAAAGCGCCGGGTAAACTGTGAAGCCCTATACAAATGCTAGTTGTCCTCATTACTAACATGTTTACAGCTTGGTTGGCCCTGAAATAGCTGGCTTAACCTGAAAGAGAAAAGTGGGCCACCTTCCAGGACTCCTGGATGGCCCAAAAAGTCCCCATGAAGAGGCCTGGACTGGACAAGTGTGCAGACAATTCCCACCCCCATCCCATTCCCTGCTGGGTCTCCAAGACTCCGAGCCTAGGGCTCCTTTACTGCACCCTTCTCCCCACCCCATACTGTCACAACCAAATTTCCAGTCAAGTCAACCCAACTATATCAGGTTCAAGACATCTGCACTGGGGAAGGCTAATGGCTTTTAATGCCCACAAGGGGCTACAAACACAACAACCCCAAGAGCCACAGGTCATGTGAAACAGTAAGCAGGCAGGTGGAGGCTGAGGCAAACCCAGGTGCACACACAGTCTAAGGGAGGATGGCCATCACTCCAATCCAACAACCACTGGCATTATACAAGCCCGCTGTTGCCAGATCTATCTTTTTTTTTTTCCCCCCCCCCACAAGAAGCCCAAATTCCAGACTTTTATGCAAAATTTCTTGATTTTCAAAAGCTGGCAACTCAAATTTTTGAAATGTTAAAACACTATGTGGGCCAAATAAAACATGTGTGCAGGCTGAAGTCAGCCAGTAGCCTCCAGGGCACTGAGCCCTGGCAAGCAGACCTTCAGCTCCCACCCCCAGCCCATCCCTCCAGCTCCTCCTCTGGCCTTCTAGGCCCTAAATCTCTAATCCGCAGGGAAATCCAGTCGAGCCCGGAAGAGGCTGCCCCTCTGCCAACGACTCACCCTCCTCTGCAGGGGCTCCTCGGCCATCCTTGGGGGTGCAGCAGCCATTCTCCACTGCTCGGGAAGCTTCAGGTGGAGTCTCTGCTGTACCTTCTCCCTCTGCTGGGGCCCCGCCCTTCTGACCCCCGGCAGGGGTCCCCTCCTCTGGCTGGGGCTCACTCCGTTTCTCCAAGTCCCCATTGGGTAACAGCTCTGAGGGGCCCGAGTCCTGGGCCATGGACGGGGTCTTAGAGGTTACTGCAGTATCCTTCGGTGTGTCACTGCTTTCCACCTGGAATAATGAAGAAAGATACACAAGGGGTGGATTAATTAGAACAGTGGCCTGAGCCTCTTTTGCATCACTGAGCTTTCTGAGTTCTGTTGAAAGTTATGTACCCTCTGTCTGGAAAACTGTATCCACATAAATGCTCAAACAAGCAAACACACATAGTTATTGATGCCAATTTCAAGGGGTTTATGGGCCAGACCTCCTGAAATCACAGGGTCTATGGACTCTAGCTTAAGAACGGGGGAAATATCCAAGGAGGTCCATCAACCCATTGCTCAAGTTCCAGTCCTGCCCAGCCCCACATGCTGAGGTTATGCCCAGTTTTCCAGCCTTCTCTGCCTCCTAGAATGCTGCCCTTATTCAAAAACAAACACTCCTCATACTATCCATAACTCGAACTGGGCCCCACCTCAAAAGATTCTAGTGCCACCAGGTCAATTCTGCTAACCCTGGGCTGGTCTGATTTCAGTGGTCAGAGCCCTCCTTGCTGGTGCTCAGCGGCTCTTGCGACACCATCTTTCATATGTGTCACTGCATAGTGTGATAAACTCTTTCACACCTATTATTGCTTTGGAGCCTCTCAATGTCTCTGAGATTCAAGTGGGAGACCAAAGTTCTCAGAGAATTATGTGATTTGCTAGAGGCCACACATGTAATGACAGAGCAAATGCAGGAGATTCCAATGCCCCTTGGGCTCTGCTCTGTGTGGACACTTGGTCATTAGCCTCCTGGAGGCAAGAAGCCAAGAAATCTCAGGAAGAATGGAGGTGTTCAGCTGGGCCAAGAAGAGGCAAGAATTACCACACTCATGGGCACTAGGGTGCACTCAGCATATCCTCCCCTGCTGGCTTCATTTGCAGAATGCCAGCCCCGTATAAGGGCAGGGACAGTATCATCTCACCAAACATGGTGCTGGCCCATGACCTCAGATAAGGCACTGCTTTCAGAGAATGCCTCAGTTTCCCCACCTGTAGAAAGAGACAATTAGGCTACACCAATAGGGGGTTTTTCCTTCTTTTTAAGTCTCTCTCTTTTTCCATTTATAAAAGTAAATCACATATAACCCCTCGGAAAGGGATCAAAATAGGAGACCCTGGATAGAGTGGGAGAAAAGTATAGAACAAAACTCAAAATTATAAAAAAGACCAGGCTTGCTGGTCTGATAAGACACTGGTGAAACCCCAAGACTATGGCACTTAGTCACCCTCTGGGCCTGGAATTGAACTCACTCCCATGGCTTCTAGCCAAACAATAAACAGGCGTATAAGGTGAACATTTACACTAGGTAGGTACACTTCTCACCGTGGGAGACCAGCAGGGTAGCATTTGCACAGGGAGATAGCTCAGAGGGCAAGAATGCATAGGAAAGAAGGACCCAGGGAAAGGGAGGAAGTGGGAAGAGAGCTGTTACATTGTGGGGATTGCAATCAATGCCATGAAACAAAACGTGTATATGAACAGTTGTATGGGAAATGTATTTGCTCTGTGAACTTCCGCCCAAATAACAATAAATAAATAAAAGGATAAGATACATATGAAAATGCAAATAGCATAAACAAACTGTACTGAAAAGTTAAAACTCCAGTTTCAATCTCTGACCCCCTCAAATCACTCCCTAAAAGTAAACCATTAGGAACAGTTTGACAATTATCCCTTTAGACATCTCTCTATGCTTCTCTAATTACGTGTAAGATACATGTATATACATATGTATTCATCAGACAAGGCACTGCTTTCAGAGAATGCCTCATTTAAAAAAAAAAATGGTACACTCCTCACAATGTTCTGCAATTTGCTTTTTAATTTAACAAGAGATGGCAGGCACCTCTCCATACTAGTGCATATGGGTCTGTCTCACTCTATTTGACAGCTGCTCCATAGTGTGTCTTATAGATGCTCCCTAATTTATTCAATTCTCTAATCGTGGGCATTTAGACTGATTGGCTTTTTGCTTCTGTTATGTACAATGTTGCAGTGAATACCCTAGTATTTACAGCTCTGTGCTCCTGCATATTCTGTAGGTGGAGTCCCAGAAGTGGACTGGCTGGGTTAAAGGGCATACCCATTACAGTGTGTGTCACCAAAAAAACCAAACTCGCTGCCATCGAGTCAATTCCAACTCACAGAGACTCCCACTGGGTTTCCAAGGCTATAAATCTTTATGGACATAGATTACCCCATCTTCTTTCCATGGAACGGCTGGTGGGTTTGAACCACTGACCTTCTGGCTAGCAACCAAATGCCTTATCCACTATGACACCAGAGCCCCTTACAGTGTGTATAGTTACTGCCAAATTCCCTCCAAAAAATTTTACCATTTGTGTGCACGCCTACAGCCTGAAAGTGTGCTGGTTTCCACAACCCCTCCCCTGCACAGCTCACCAATTGCCAAAGCTGCTTTCTGCTCTAAAGGTCTGTGCCTCTTAACCACTCCTAAACTCACCAGAGGGGGCAAAAAGGGATACCAAAAACTAAAACTCACTGCCATTGAGTTAATTCCAACTTATAGCAACCTCCTTGGGTCTCCAAGGCTATAAATCTTTACAGAAGCAGATTGCTTCATCTTTCTTCCACGGAGAAGCTGGTGGGTTTGAACCACTGACCTTTTGGTTAGCAGCCAAATGCCTGAAACATCACACCATCAAATCAAACCAAACCAAATTCACTGCCATCAAGTCAATTCTGACTCACAGCAACACCCACAGGTTTCCAAGGTTGTAAATTTTTATGGACGCAGACAACCTCATCTTTCTTCCACAGAGCAGCTGGTGGGTTTGAACCAAATGACTTAACCACTATACCACCAGAGCTCCTTAAAGAGGGATGAGGGCTTTGGAAAAAAGCAGAGCCACACCAGAGTCCTCTCAGATATGCTTTCTTCCCTGGACAAGGCCCCAGGCACACAGAGCAGCCTGAGTGTGAGCAAAAGAACTCCATGGCCTTGCCAACCTGCTTCCTCCAGGCTGTGTGGGGGTCCTGCAACAAGTCCACGAGAAGGCTTCTGGTGAAAGCAGGGGGTCCTCCAGTAGGCTTGAACACCAAGAGCCAATGCAGCAACTCCAGGGGGTCAAAGGCAGGAATAAAAGTAGAGCATGCCCACCCCTGACTCTCTCCCCAGTCTCCATTCCCTTATGCCAGGGCCACACACCCTCTCAAGGATTCACAAAGGTCTCTTCTGCTTCCTCAGGTAAGAAAAGTCACACCTCCTACCTAGAAAGTTCCTCCCTGACATAAATCCTCTCAGTCGTCAAGGCTCAGTAAGAGAAAGTCGGATTGCACAGGCAGCCTGGAAAGTGGAGAGAGCCCCTGCTTAACAGCCGACAGCAAATACCACAAAGCTCCAAACAGGACACAGCCCTACACGGAATGGCGAGGGTGGGGAGGGAACCCAGCCTGGCCAATTTGGGCTGAGAAGTTTCAGTCAGACCCAATCTCTTACCATAGCTGTGTTCTTCTTTCCTTCAGCCACTTGCTGTCCTGTAGACACTTAAAGTTGGGGCAGGTTCTGAGCCCCACAGTGCCCATTCCCAGCCCTCAAAGCTGTTCAAGATAACTACACTGTCATTTACTTCCTGCTAGGGAACCACAGAAGATCCTCTCACCTTGGGACTCATTTCCTGTTGACTGCCAACTCCAAAGCATAGAGACCCAGGAATGCCTGCTCTGAAGCAACATAGCCAACACAGCCCAGGGTTCCCACCAACTCAGTCACTCATGGACATGCCCTGGGAGACCCCAGTTAGGAGCAGTATCAGACACACCAAATCTCTTCTGTAGGAGACAAGTTTGCTGGGTGGATGGGGGGGGGGGGCCCTCTGCACAGCTATAGCTCCAGAATTAGCTCAGCTAGCTGACATTTCCCCTGATCTCACCAGCCTGCACCCCCTTTCTTCCCACCATCCCACCCTCTATTGTCCTCCCTCTCTGGTTCTGAATAAGCACTGAGTCAATCGAAGCTGAAGCGCCAACACTCTGGGATTAGGAGGAAGGGATGATTCCTGCCATGGCTAACCCTGATCCATCTTACCCATAAAGAATTTGCCTCCTGAGGCTTCCTAGACAGATTCAAAGAATTCATGGGATTGGGTTATTACTGGGTTAAAAGGCTTGGGACCATAGACTCATGGAATAACTCAGACAGTTGACATAACATAGTTCACAAAGATAACGTTCTGCATTCTAGTTTGGTGAGTAGCATCTGGGATCTTAAAAGCTTGCAGTCATCTAAGATACAACTATCGGTCTCTATTCAGATGGAGCAAACAAGAATGAAAGAAATTAAAGGCTCAAAGAATAAACTAGGGCACACGACTAATAGCCCACATGAACAACCGCCTCTTCTAACCTGAGACCAGAAGAACCAGATAGTGCCCAGCTACCACAACCAACTTGTTTGACTAGGGACACAAAAGAAGGTCTCAGATAGAATGGGAGAAAAATGTAGAACAAAACTCAAATTCCTAAAAAAGGCTAGAACCACTGGAACCCCTAAGACTATTGCCTTGGAACTACAGCCTTGGAACTTGGAATTGAAACTATTTCTGCAGGTCACCTTTCAGTGAAATAATAGATTAGCTCATAAAATAGTATCACCCATGAGTAATGTGATCTCTTTAAGGATCAATTATATGAGACCAGGCAACATCTAGTCAAAAGCAAAGATGAGAAGGCAAGGAGGGGAAGGAAGCTAGATCAATGGAAACAGAACAAACAGAACAGAAATAATGAGAATGCTGACACATTGAGAAAATTATAACCAATGTCACAGAACAATCTGTATAAAAATTTCTAAAGAGGAACCTAATTTGCTGTGTAAACTTTTACCTAAACTAGGATAAAGTATTATATAAAAACAAAACAAAAACATACACTTGTGGGGGAAAAAAAGAGAAGAGTTTGTCTTCTGAGTGAAGTAGTGGCTCCTTACTGGGCCTTTTACTGGGTACTGGGCAGTTCAAATTCACCTGTAGGAAACCACTGTGAGAAAGGAACAAGAAGGACTG